GGAAAGGTCTGTCTGCCTTTTTTTCCAACGGAGTTGGGTCCAGCCTGTCTGTCCCAGCAAAGCTTGGCTCCAAAGCCTTTCCTGATAGGTGTCCCCTTCTGACTGAGCAAAGTGCCTGCACAGAGCTGGGGCTCCACAGATAGTTGTTCACCTGTTTAATGAATGGACGGAGGTCGCTAATGGCACAATAGTATCCCTGACTGCACAGGCCAGGACAGATAGCTCGACCTGTTTCACAAGCTCCACCCCTAAGGCACCCCCACCCCTGGCCGTTGGGCACTAGCTCAGGACTCTGCAGGGGAGGCTCTGGCCTCTGTCAGTGTTGAATGGGGACCCTACTCACCTCATTTCAGCCCTAATGTTTTGCTTAATTCACTTTGAGACCCTGGCAAGCTCACTTTTTCTTACTGGGATGTCCTCCTTTGCATAACAGGGACGGCAGGGGGCTGGACAGGACAAGCCCACACTGCTCTGGAGGCTCACACCCAGCTGCGGGAGCAGAGGAGACAGTGGGCTTCGAGCTTGCTCAGAGCTGCGTTCGAGTCCCTGCTCCTGCTCATTGTCTGTGTGACGTTGGACAGGGCAGTCACTGGCCTGAGCCCCAGACTCCTGCTCTGTAACATGGAGAGCATGACTGTGCCCATCTCCTAGAGCTGTTGGGGGTTTAGTGAGGTTGTGGGTGTGGAGCTCCAAGCAGACTGCCTGGCCCATGAGTGGCTCTGAAAATGTTCTCCCTCCTCTGTGAGGACCCTGGAGGGACTAATATTCCTCTAGGAAATGAAAAGTAGGCTGATAAGATAGCCATCCTCTTTGGACAGCACCAGCTACCCAGATGGCATCCCAGATGTGGGCCTAGACCAGGGGTGGGCAAACTTTTTGACTTGAGGGCCACAATGGGTTCTTAAACTGGACCGGAGGGCCGGAACAAAAGCATGGATGGAGTGTTTGTGTGAACTAATATAAATTCAAAGTAAACATCATTACATAAAAGGGTACGGTCTTTTTTTTTTTAGTTTTACTCTTTTCAAACGGGCCGGGTCCGGCCCGCGGGCCGTAGTTTGCCCATGGCTGGCCTAGACCTTCCCCATCTTGCCCCTCCACTCCCTCCCTCAGGGGAAAATGGGCTCTGCCTTCTGCTGTGTGTGCCCCTCCTGTCCCAAGTTCCTGGGCTAGAAGCCTAGGATAAAGGCAAAGTCAGACTGGTGCTCCCTCCCAGCCCTGCCTTTAGCCACCCTCACAGAGAGAGGCCCGGTGCTCCCGCGCCCGCTGGGCTGCCAATCGATTGAATGTGCTCCCATCCTCGGGCGTGCCATGAATTTTTCATCAAAGGCCTGTAGACTTTGGGAAACACACAATTAGAAGCCCCATCAATAATGCACCACGTGGAGGCATTGGCTGTGCTCAGCCAGGCCTGACGTGGCTGCCTTCCGGCCCTGCTCTGGCAGAAGGCTGGAGGAGCACCAAGACCCCCATAGGGTCCTCATTGAACACAGATCAAGCGTGGGATGTTGAGAGGCAGGAGAAGCTATCGGAAGAGTTGAACCTGCCTCTTGAAGCCCCAGTGGGAGCCTTTACAGAAGTTTCAGGTGCTTCATCTATCAAATGGGTGCGAAGGAGCCCTGACCCCTAAAGCGTGATAAGACGCAGCGGAGAGTTGCTATGTGAATACTAGGGTTCTTTGTAGGACTGGGGGAGTCCTCCTTCCAGGGGGCCCCAGGAAGCAGGGTGGGCACTAGGCTGGGGTGGAAAGGAGGAGGAGGGGAGCACAGAGATGCCTGGTGACATCGGGGGCTTTATTCACCCAGCTATCGGTCAAGGTCAGAACAGTTCTCTTCTGTCCAGTATCTGCCTTCACAGTTCCTCCACTGACAGGACAGAGGCGCCCTTGCCCTGTCTCTGTTGATCTGTTCTTCAGAGCTCGCCTCCAGGCAAAAGCCTTTCCCACTCTCCTGGGCCAGAGGAACGTCCTTTTGTGAGTTTCCAGAGCCTGAACCAGGAGGGTAAACAAGTGCTCACCTTGGCAGGAAATGTTCTAAATACTTTATGTGGATCAATCTAACTTCATCCCCCCACGCAACTGGACAAGGCAGATGTCCATTCGACAGAGGAAGAGGTCAAGGAATTTGTCCCAGTGGGGAATCTGCTTCCAAAATCTGTACTCATAACCACCTCCTCAGACCCTGGGGCTGGCTCTCCTGTCCTCAACTGAGTCCACAGGGCAGGGCTCATGCTCCCCACTTCCTCACTCACTAGGGCTAGGATCAGGGACTGAGGCTCCCCTGACCCCAGCTCAGGAGAACACAGGGTGGGGTACACAGGCTATTAATAGCCACTGGCTCTCTGCTCTCCCACCCTCTCAGGCTCCAGGTCTGGCTGCTGCATGCCCCTTGAAATAAGGCCATCACATGGTGGGGGGCTGAAGGGGGAGAGAAGGCTGGGGCTGAGGCAGTTTGGCCCTTGATTCTGGCCATGTCACTAGATCTCTTTGGGTCCTGTCTAGCTGTTGGCCTCTCTGTTCCAGCCTATGTGGGGGCTCATAGGTACCCAGCGTTCTGTGTCTATGTACACGGGCTGTCATGGAGGATTACCTGAGGGCCTACATTTCTAAAACCCTCTCCTGGCAGAAATGCCATCAGTGGGCCTGAAACATAATGGAGGCCATGTCACACCCTCCCCCACATCCACCATCTGGCCAAATCCCAACCCTGGCACCCATGCAGGACACATGCTGGGACTCTCTACAGCAGAGGACTCACTGTGACTCTAACAACAAGGCTCACACAGGTATCCTGGGAGGGACTCGGGGTGGGAGTGGTTGGGGGAGGGTGGGAAGGGACCTGGGTGCCTCCCCAGTTGTGTGCTGTCTTTGGCCTTAATAATTGTCCGTAAGATCTCCATGACTCTATTAATGGGCAGCCAGGGTGGCAGGAGGAGCACCACCTTCCATCTATGGAGGATGGTGAGCACTGCCTCTCCCCCAACCCAGGCTAAGGACACTAGGCCCATCCATTTTTCTCTCTAGCAGCCCCTTGCCCCGGCCTTGTACTGGTCACTGGGACACAGATGTGAACAAGGTTTAGTCTCTGTCCCCGAGGAACTTGTACTCTAGTGGATGTGGTCGCAGGCACAATATAGCCCTCAGCCAGGCCCCTTGCCACCCCAGGTACAGGCAGAGGTGTAAGGAAGGGCATTTTAGAGCTGGAATGGGTTTTTTTAAAAATATATATTTTATTGAATTTTATACAGAGAGGAAGGGAGAAGGACAGAGAGCCAGAAACATCGATGAGAGAGAAATATTGATAAGCTGCCTCCTGCACACCCACAACTGGGGACGCGCCCGCAACCAAGGTACATGCCCTTGACCGGAATCGAACTGGGGACCCTTCAGTCCACAGGCTGACGCTCTATCCACTGAGCCAAACCAGTCAGGGCTGGAATGGGTTTTGAAGGGTGAGTAGGAGTTTGTCAGGTGATAAAGAAGTGATGAAGGGGTGCATTCTCAGCAGAAGGAACAGTAGGAGCAAAGGTGTGAGGTGAGAAGCAGCGTGGCACAGTGAGGAGGAGTGGTGGGAGATAAGGTTGGCATGGCTGCAGTCTAAGGTCTTGAATGCCAGGCCAATATCCAACGAGGAGCCTGTTACAGTCAGGTGAAATGGGCTGGGCTGAGCTAGATGCTGGCATCAAGCATGGCTATAAGGACCCTCCCAGGATAAGGCCTGGTCACCTTACAAAGATGCCCAGTCTGGCAGCACAGACTATCAGAGCTGGAAAGAGTGGCCCCCAAAGGAGTAGGGGTGGGATGTTGGCCACCAGGAACCTTGGTTGGAGAGATAGCCACAGGCAAGTGACCTTAGGATGCTGCCCTTTCTCGGGTCTTGGATAGGCTACCTGCTTTGGCATCCTAGAGTCACCAGGCCATGCCCACCCTGCGCCCGAGGGCTGTCTGAATCTTGATCCCTGTGCCACCCTTCACCCTTGCTGTGTGAGAGAAACAGACTTGATAGTGGCTTCTCAGTCCCCTCTGACCTGTAAATCAATGATGTCACTGTTCCTGGAGCAGGAGCAAGAGCTGGGACCAGAAATGGAGACCTGCTTCTCAGTCCCAAGGGCAGCAGCCTTCCGGGGAATTGAGGGGCTTCTTCTGGGGGCACCAAGGCCCTACCTGGTGGGTCAGGCTCTGTGGGGGGCCTGTATGGCTCCCCAGGGTGAGGGGCCAGGGGTGAGGAGGGAGATGAAAGAAGTAGGCTTGCATATATGACAGGCCCACAGCCAACATCATACTCAATGGACAAAAACTAACACCATTTCCCCTAAGAACAGGAACAAGACAGGGATGCCCACTCTCGCCACTCCTCTTCAACATAGTCCTGGAAGTATTAGCCATTGCAATTAGACAAGAAGAAGAAATAAAAGGCATCCAAATTGGAAAAGAGGAAGTAAAACTGTCCTTATTTGCAGACGACATGATATTATACATACAAAACCCTAGAGACTCCATCAAAAAACTACTAGACTTAATACATGAATTTGGCAAAGTAGCAGGATACAAAATTAATGCCAAGAAATCTGAGGCATTTCTATACACCAATAGTGAACTTTCAGAAAGAGAGATTATAAAAACAATCCCATTTACCATCGCACCAAAAAAATTAAGATACCTAGGAATAAACTTAACTAAAGAGGTAAAAGACCTCTACTCAGAAAACTACAGGACATTGAAAAAAGAGATAGAGGAAGACATAAACAGATGGAAGAACATACCGTGTTCATGGATTGGTAGAATCAACATCATTAAAATGTCCATACTACCCAAAGCAATCTATAAATTCAACGCACTTCCCATTAAAATACCAACGGCATACTTCACAGATCTAGAACGAACTCTCCAAAAATTCATCTGGAATAAAAAAAGACCCCGAATAGCTGCAGCAATCCTGAGAAAGAACAAAGTAGGTGGGATCTCAATACCAGATATCAAGCTGTATTACAAAGCCACTGTTCTCAAAACTGCCTGGTACTGGCACAAGAACAGACATATAGATCAATGGAATAGAATAGAGAGCCCAGAAATCAGCCCCAACCAATACGCTCAATTAATATTTGACAAAGGAGGCAAGAACATACAATGGAGTCAAGACAGTCTCTTCAATAAATGGTGCTGGGAAAATTGGACAGATACATGCAAGAAAATGAAACTAGACCACCAACTTACACCATACACAAAAATAAACTCAAAATGGATAAAGGACTTAAATGTACGACAGGAAACCATAAAAATTCTAGAAGAATCCAAAGGCAACAAAATCTCAGACATATGCCAAAGCAATTTCTTCACTGATACAGCTCCTAGGGCAGTTGAAACTAAAGAGAAAATGAACAAATGGGACTACATCAAAATAAAAAGCTTCTGCACAGCAAAAGAAACCATCAACAAAACAACAAGAAAACCCACTGCGTGGGAAAACATATTTGCCAACGTCATATCTGATAAGGGCCTAATCTCCAAAATTTATAGGGAACTCATACAACTTAACAAAAAGAAGATAAACAATCCAATCAAAAAATGGGCAAAGGATCTAAATAGACACCTTTCAAAAGAGGACATTCAGAAAGCCAAGAGACATATGAAAACATGCTCAAAGTCACTAATCATCCGAGAGATGCAAATCAAAACAACAATGAGGTACCATCTCACACCTGTCAGAATGGCTATCATCAACAAATCAACAAACGACAAGTGCTGGAGAGGATGTGGAGAAAAAGGAACACTTGTGCACTGCTGGTGGGAATGCAGACTGGTGCAGCCACTATGGAAGACAGTATGGAGTTTCCTCAAAAAACTGGAAATGGAACTCCCATTTGACCCTGTGATCCCACTTCTAGGAATATATCCCAAGAAACCAGAAACACCAATCAGAAAGGATATGTGCACCCATATGTTCATAGCAGCACAATTCACCATAGCTAAGATCTGGAAACAGCCTAAGTGCCCATCAGTAGATGAATGGATTAGAAAACTGTGGTACATCTACACGATGGAATACTATGCTGCTGTAAAAAAGAAGGAACTCTTACAATTTGCAACGGCATGGATGGAGCTGGAGAGCATTATGCTAAGTGAAATAAGCCAGTCAATGAAGGAAAAATACCACATGATCTCACTCATTCATGGATAATAAAGACCATTACAAACTTTTGAACAATAATAGATACAGAGGCAGAGCTGCCTCAAACTGATTGTCAAACTGCAGTGGGAAGGCCAGAGAGGGTTGGGGGGCAGAAGGGAGGGGAGTAAGAGATCAACCGAAGGACTTGTATGCATGCATATAAGCAAAACCAAGCCCTAAAAAATAAAATAAAATAAAATAAAAAATAAAAAAAAAGAAAGAAGTAGGCTTGGCCCCACCTTCAGAAGTCCTAGATTACGGGGGGAGACAGTGCCCACCTTGGGGAGCCCCAGTCTGAGGTGGGACACATGGTTCTGCTCTGGGAGTCCCAGTTTGAGGGAGGTGCCATGTCCCTGGTCTGGAGCACATCTGAGGAGGAGGCAGGGCCCCACACACCCTCGAGAAGGACGCATGAAAAGAACAGATGGTCCCAACAAGTGCAAATTAATTGAGCGAAACCTGTGTACATAGGCGCTGTGAACAGGCGGCTGACAGGCGGGGAGGGGGGGCAGGGCGGGGGTGGGAGGAGCTGTAACGAGCAGTTATCAATGTCTTGCTGGATCTGCAGCTGGGAGCACAATTATTGACCAAACCTGTCTATAAATTTCCCAGCCACGTCTTCAGAAACCTTAATGATGGGGCCTCATTACCCCTCACACCTCCAGGCACAGGGGACCAGCCTGAGCTGGAGTGGCCGGTGACACTGCGGCTGGCCTATGACAGCTTGGCAGAGCCCTGCAGCAAGAGGTGCCTAGCTGGGATGTGGGAAATACTATTCAGGGTCCTGTTTCCCACGAGTGGGAGTGGATGGAGGCTCAGCTTCCAGGCCAACAGGGGCTGAGGTGGAGGGGACTTTGGAAGTAGGGAGTTCAGGGTTTACATCCCAGTTTTGCCAGTTACTCGTGACTCCCCATCATCGTACAGCGGGGAGAGAGCTGTGTAAAGATGAAGTGGGCAGAGTCTGTCAAGGGCTGAGCACAGCACCTGGCACTGGTACGTGTGTAACACGTGCCCCTTCTCTCTCCTCTGTCACTATGCCCAAAGCTGTTGAGAAAGCAAGCAGCAGCCCTGGTGGCTGGCAGCGGGCCTGGCACGCACCGCCAGGCCTTGTTCTGTAGAACGACAAGGCCACTCTGACAATCAGGTCTGCACACAGTTGAAACATGAACATTGTCCAAACCACAAAATGACCAGACAGCAGCCTGGATAACGTGAGTGTCTGCTGCTGTTCACCAAGGACAGTTTCAGCCTCGTTCCACACCCCTGCCCTCTGGATAAGAATTACAATTCTTAGGGTCCTTTCTGTCCTTTCCAGCACCTTCTTCCTGGTCGGTGGCCCCTGGGCTGCAGTGAGTTAATAAACCCAACGTGCTTCAATCGCAGGAGTGTTCCTGGTCACCTTCAGCTGGAGAGAATCGCGATTCTACTATTAGAGCATCATCTCTTGAGTGTGCTTTGCAGGGGGTGATCCTGGGGCACCTGCTAAATCTCTGGTGAGGGGGAAGGAGCCCAGGCCAGAAGTCTGGGCCTCTTGAGGGACCCAGGGAGGCACAGTAGATGGGGCTGGGACTGGGCTAAAAGGGGAGCCACAGGTGAGGCCTCCCTTCTCTGTATTTCAGGCTCATCTTAGCTCCGGAAAGGCAGCCCTGGGAGGGCCAGTGGAGAGGGTGGGGTCCTCTGCTCCAGATGCCAGGCCTGTGGGCCGAAGGAGCAGTCCCGCAGGGCTTTCTGTGGGGAGGCTGGCATGGCTGCTGTACCTTAGGAAACATGGGACAGGGCATGTGTATGTAGGTCTCCATCCCTCGGCACTCTCCTACCTGTCTCTGCCTCTCTGGCCCCATCTAGATTCTTTCTTAGGGGCTATGTCCTCTGCCCTGACCCTTCCTGGCTGGTTCACCCCTCCTGCCTCCAGCCCAGGCCGGCGCACTCTCCTTGCCCTGGAGTCCTCCATTTCTGCAGGGCTCCAGGCTCACCCAGGGCTGCGCAGTGTCTCTGCTTTCAGATTCCTGGGCAGTGCTTCTGGAAATCTGTATGACCTACTTTGTTTTTGGAGGACAGAGCCACCAGGGAGTTGGTCCCTTCAGCGCCCCTTCTCACCTGGCTTGTCAGCTGGCCTTTTGGGGCCATTTTCCCCTCATGACTAGCTCTCCCCCATCAATCCTTTTGGGCCCAGACCCTCACAAATCCAGTAGGAATGAGGGGAAGGGGTTTCATGGGGGTGCTCTGTTGCCTGGGGCACCCTCTCCACTCAGCTTCTCAGGATGCCTGTGCCCTGCCCACCTCAACTCAGTCTCAGAATGCAAATCCTGATACCAAGACCGTTTGAACCAAGCCCATCTCCAGTCCTGCCTCAGAAACACTCTTCTGAGGCTTCTGAGCTCCCCTCCCACTTTAAGGTCCAGGCCCCAGGCCTCCTGCTGAGATGCCTGTGAAGTCCTGGCTGGGTAGAGGACTTGGGGATTGGGGATGGGTAGGGCAGAGACCCATTTATAGTGGTTGAATGGACTCCCCAAGGGACTGGCCGATGGTTGTCTGATAGGAGGGCCAGGGAGGGGCTGAGAGAGATGGAATCTGGTCTCTAACCCCCTGCCCCCAGCTCTCCTACACGGCCTTCCTCACCTCACCTCTGCTGTGAAGGATTAGGCACCCGAGCCCCCCCCCCCCCCCCCCACAGCTCACAGAGGCCTCTCCAGGCACCACAGGATTTTTGCAGCCAGCCTCGGGTAAGGATTATCATCATCCCCATTTCACAGCTGAAAAGACTGAGGTTCCTGTAGGTGGTGGCTGGGAGCTGAGTGGGAGGCAAACATCCTCTCTCTGATGAAGATCTGTTATTTCTCCGGAATATGTGGCTGCTTAGGAAGGGGCATTTTATGCATTCATTGGACTCATTTACTGAGCACCTACTGTGTGCTGGGCACCTGGGGTGGGATGGAGAAGGAGATATAAGGCAGAGAGAGTCAAGGAGAAAAGGCCTGGAGCTGGGTTAGGTGTGGGTAGAATATTCTGGGTTGGGCACAGGCTTCAGCAGTCACAGGGGCCCCCAGGCTGAGGGGCTCCTGGTACAGGTGAGGGAGTCATGGAAGGGTTGCAAGCAGGGGCAACACATTTTGTGCTTTGGATAGGTCACCTGGTGACTGTGCCCTAGGGTGGAGGTGGGGGGTCAAATGGGCAGGGAGGCCCCATCTGGACTATCAGCTCCTGGAACCCGAGCCAGCTTCCTGAGGGAGCCCCTCAGGCCCTCCGCCAGGCCTTCCACCCACATAAAGGAGAAGGTGGGAGGCAGGGGTCTTCACCTTGGCCTCCACAAGACTCTCCCAGCTGATGAAGCAGAGCTCCGAGGGGGCTCCCCATGCAGCCAGAGGCGGGAGGGGGAGACAGATGCCTCCAGTTTCCCACACTCAGAGTGGGTCTAGCTGCCAGGCCCTTGCCCCTGCCCTTCCAAATCCCTGAGCCACTGTTCAGCCCTCCCCGGAGTCCACCATGCCTTGAGATATTTGCATATCTGACAGTAAAAACAATTCTTCATAGAAGCTTAGTGCCATCAGGGCTGCAAAGCCCCCTTTTGTCTGTCTGAGTAAGAGCTGGCTAAAGGCTGAAGGATAATTAGTCCCCCAAGGGCAACTGCTGCCCACCTCCTTGAAGATTTAAAAGCACAGCCCACCTATTCAATCTGCTTCTAGCTTCTCGGCCCCAATGGTTCCCTCTATTTTCTAACCCCTCTCCTGCAGCCCCCTCCCCCATCCTCTGTCCTGGCTTCTCTGGGAGGGGACGGCAGCCTATGGCAGGAGCCGATGAATGGGCATTTTATCTGATTAAACTGGGAATGAACTGGCCTTTCTCT